CAGCAGGCAGAGTGCTTCCCTATCAGTGCTGTTGCTGCTTCCCAGTGAAATCCCAGCCTATTTAATTCCAGCAGAAATAATGGAGAGAAAAGGTGATGCTGAAATAAAAAAGGAGAGAGATGATACTGGGAGGTCTGAATGGAACTAAATAGTGCTCTTTCCATCTTTTCTTTATTTAGCTTCAATTTGTATATTTAAATTGAGCAGGATCTAGCTGAAATGGAGTCAATTCTGATGGACAATGCCTATTCAATGTAACTGGGGCTTATTCACAAGCCTTACACTGGCTTTAACTACAGTGAGAAAGAAATGAGCTTCCTATTCATTTTGCTTGCACCTCAGCTCCACTATCTTCCTAAACAGATTTTGGATTTCCAAGTGGTTTTGAATAAATGGGAACATCAGAAAATTTTCCTGGGGGTTCCTGAGGCTGCGTAAAGATGTTTGCAGAAGTGTTCACCTTTCCCCCCTAGCAAGGGCTGTGGGGTTTATCCAGGGAGAAGCGTTCAAATCAGCAGATGCTCTCAGTTAGGTGTCACAGGCAGAACAACACCGAAATAAAATGATTTTTCGTCTTTAGTATTGCATTTATGCAGGGCATGATGCTTAAGTCAGAGCTGAGGCTAAAATCCCCCGGGATGTAACGTTCTCTGGTGGAAAGCTCCATGAAGGTATCCTTAGCCCAAGCACCTCCAGCACCCATCCTCTTGCTCGATGTCCCCAGAGAAGGGGAGAGGGGGGTGAGGCTCTGCAGCAGCCTCAGCGCCCTCCACTGCAGGGTGGGGAGAGATCGGTGCCAGTCTAGGCTGAAGGCAGGGAGACCCCACTCGCTGCTCCACCCCACTCAGGAGATGCAGCGAGGAAAGGGAGGAGGCGGGGGGGGGAAAAAGCCCCTAAATGTCAGCAGCAGATGAAGGGTGTTGGAAAATTTAATCTTCCAACTTTCTCAACTAATGTGACATTTGGATTTTCTCCCGATAAGCTATCAGCCCCAGAAGTTTCTTTCTTTTGCCTTTTTTCTTTATTTTTTTCTCTTTTTTTCCCTTCTCTCCTCTGGCTAGTAATTTAAAAATAAATGGTCTAGAAAGATCTCTAAACAGTACCTTTGGCAAAGATTTAAAAAAGCGAAGGGGGATAGGGGAGCAGGCTGGCGGGAGAGGCTGATTGTT